TATCAGATGTTGGACTTTATAAACCAAGGAGAAGTGTAATAGTATGCTCAACCACATGGCAGATGATATAAATTAGCTCCCTGAAGAACTTACATTGGCTTTACCTTTTTATTCTAACATACTACTGTGCAAGTAAGACGCATGCTACAAACCAAACCTCTGGACATCTTGGCAAAAAATGGTTAAAACCCCTGAGAGAACACTGAGAGTTTACAGTGCTGTCCTGCTTATCATCACCCATCTTCCACTGTTCTTGCTGAAGAAAGCATTCCCACAGCATGCCACTCCTACTACTATGTGCCACTATCATATCAAACCACATATCTTTTTCTATCTCTTTCACAACTTTGTGTCACTTTGTGTTGATCTGTCAGATAAAATCCCAATAAGACACACAGTAGTTCAGAAAGTGCAAGAAAGGGTGTTTTTCTTTTGCGTGGTTCTATACGTATGCATCCGTGTACAGGGAGACGAGTCAAAGACTTAAAAAGATCTTACTGAGTGCCGGGCTGGGGCTTTTAACAGCTTCATCTGTGAGAGGAAACACAAGTCAGCACGAGAAGCTGGTAATTGAATGAAGTCATGTGCAAACACAGACACACATGAAGACGCACACGCAGACAAACAAAACAGGAGCGATAACAAGACACAAGGGAGGTTCATGGGCAACAGTGGGAGTGGAAAAACTGAACGAATTAAGCAAGCTTTGGGGAGTAACAACACTCATTAAAGAGAGGAGAAAAGACAAGCTGGGAAGAGAAAAAAACTACTATCTGTCAAACATCTGAATGCCCGTGTGTGGGTGTGTATGTGTGTGTTTGCAACGAGAGAGCAAACACAGTGACAGAAAACAGCAAAACATGGAAGAAGCCACATGGAACCGCACATTGGTAGCTAAGAAGTGCTACTTAAAATAGGGTTAAACACAAGAAACCAAAACAAGCTTTTAAATGAAGCGAGTGATTCAGATTTAGAGAACAAATGGCTAATTACAGCAGTAGAGTGAATAACCTATTAATATTGATCACCTACTGCACTGTCTTTTATATATTATCACCTGGATTTATCAACTGGGACAATAAAGTATATTTCTATTTTTAGTCATATTTTAGATATGACTAAAACATGAGAAAAACATATTTTATTTGGATGTAAAATAATATGTAAAAGTTTACATTTTACTTTAACTTCTGTTAAATCTTTATCCTTTGCTTATATTTTATGTAACATCAATATTAAGCTCTGTAAATTAGGTTGTTTGCTCTGTTTGCACCAACTTATTCGACAATTTTTGACATACTCTCCTAATTAGTTCATATGAATCCCACACAAGGGTGTACAGAAAATGGATGGCTGGATATACATATATATATATATATATATATATATATATATATATATATATATATATATATATATATATATAGTTACTTTTACCTGTTTCCAGTTGCTTTACTTGTGTTTCAGTAGCAACAGAAGTGCCACATCCCATGATGCTCAGTTGCTCAGCAGGGAGGTCCAGGGGTCACATTAGTCACTCTTTTCCAAGCATTATGGGATTCCTTTGGATGGCAGCATGTGAGTGATTCTATAATTGGAGATACATTTGGCACTTCAAGAAATGACAGAAAAAAACTTTTCATTTCTTAAAAAGTTTCTTAGGTAGTCTATTGAAAAGGCATTAAACTTTTAAAAAATCTGTAATTGCCAAACATTAGCTACATATTTTATATTTTTTTCTCAGAAAAAAACGTATGTTTTGCGGTATGTTATGTCAACTCTGTTACGGACAATGTAGACAGTGAGTGAAAAAAAACAATAAATTCTAGCAGACTAAAATATTTTTATTCCATTACACCAAGTGTCCTACTACCCAAATACTTTAAATTGAGATGTTTTACTTAAAAATACATTTTAAAAAATGAAAAGATACTCAACTTTTCACAGAGTTATTAGCACAGGGGCAAACTTTTTTCATTAAAACTCATTGAAAACCATCATTCTTTTAGAAATAAAATTGGTCAGTAATACTAAATCACAGCAGAAGTCAACCAACTATGTATATTGTGCTCTGGACAACAGTTTTCCTTTTTTTTGTGTGTGTGAAAGTATGTCATAAACATGTCAACTCTGTTACCTAACAGAGTTGGTGTTAGTAACAGAATTGACAGGACCATAATAATTTAGAACTAAAAACTCTGTTACCATCAACTCTGTTACCCTATTTGGTAACAGAGTTGATGGTAACAGAATTGACAATTTCAAACATTTTTATTAAAAACTCCACTTGTGAGTAGAAATTGTGAAAAAAACATGACACCACTGAGATAATGGTTTAAAAACCATTAAATAAACTTGTCTCTGATCAAAAATCTGTGGTATTTTTCTCATGATACTTTGGTAACAAGATTGACGTTGAAAACAATAACCCCTGGTGATTGTGATTTTTAGACTAAAATATTTCCCAGAGAATGGCACATAGACCTCTGTGTGTTTGAGGTCTTATCAGTAAAAGTAAATGACTTAATTTTATGCAGTTTATATAGCCGTAGAAGGCAATTTCACAGATTTACAGGGACAAAACCATATGGTAACAGAGTTGACAAAAAATTCTCGGACACATATTTTTTCAAAAATAAGGGTATTTTGAGTTAATTTAATGTGATGTTATTAAATTGACCATTTAGGCAGTTTAAAAAAAAGATAGAAAAAACAAATTCACAAAAGAAAAATCATAAAACATATCATTTTTCAGGTTAATAAAAAAGACAGTACCCAACTCGGACAACAAGAAGTCTTGGTTTTTCAGCTATATAAAACAATTTTAAATGTATTTACTTAAATGTTTTTACTTGTTAAATATTATGATCCATTAAAATGAGTAATAAATTACTAAAGCATTTAAAAATTGAAATATTTTAATATACCGGACCAAAAATAATGACTCTGGACATCAAATGTATCTGCAATTATAGAATCACTCACGTAACTAATGAGAATTATTAATTCCAACATTTCTCACCTTTTTTGTCATACTTAAAAAAAGCTATTATAAGCAAGCATCTGACACAATGTATTAGACATTTTTTGTCCAAAAAGGGTTTGAAATGTTTTTGTATTTAATTTTTTTTTTAGGAAATATTTCCATTTTTCCGTCTGGGCTGAGGCCCCCGTCTTACAAAATCTTAGCAACGCCCTTGCTGACAACAGTCAATGCTTTACACGCGTCACCAAATTGCGCATAAAAAAATGCAGCTATGGAAATAGTCGCATATAAAACTTTCTCCTCTTACGGTTTCATTAACAGGAAAGCGTCGCTTCCAAGTAGTGCAAGTCGTTAAATCTTACCAGAAGCTTAAATCCGCGCGGTCCGCCTGGAATGATGAGAGCGCATCAATTCATGCGTAAAAATGTGCGTCGAAGCTAGCATGGAAAGGTTCAGCTCTGCGTCCTCTTCAAGAGCCGGAGTTGGACCTTCAAATGCGAGGAAGAGATCGCAGTATTCCCAGAGAAGCTGCGGAGGCAAGAGGAGGAGCAGGGAGCACTGCCGGTGCTCAGAGCTGGGAGAGGAGGCGCAAGCAGCAGCAGCTCCACATGCTACTCCTTATTTTAAATGGAACCACCTAATGTGGAATAAAAGTCACAAATCTGGATTACAAATAGTCCTTGACATTATGCTCTGTGTACGCTTATACAGTTGAAATGCTTAGGGATTTTAATTCTTTAAACTTTATGTCAACTTATAAATGTGAGTAAAGCTAAGTGGTGCAAAGTTTAAAGAAAAAAACCCCAGTAAAATAGTAAAACTATATGTCAAAATGTATAGTAAAGCACATCGATCTCAAATCAACCACCACAAATCAAAGGTTAAGTTCACTTCAACCATGATGCTCAATTTAAAGGAGCATTGCTGAAATTGACACCTTTGAGAATATATCACAGTCATTTACATCTTGAGTAATTGTACACTGCTCAAAAAAATAAAGGGAACACTCAAATAACACATCCTAGATCTGAATGAATGAAATATTCTCATTGAATACTTTGTTCTGTACAAAGTTGAATGTGCTGACAACAAAATCACACAAAAATCATCAATGAAAATCAAATTTATTTGGAGCCACACACAAAATTAAAGTGAAATGTTCTCTTTATTTTTTTGAGCAGTATAGTTCTTTAATAGGGACTAGGAATATTTGGCACGTTCTAATAAATAAAACTCAATGGGGAACTGCGTTATCCATAAAATCCAACATTTAAAATTATATTTCAAATACTCATAGAACTGATTCAAGTCCAGTGATAATTCAGTTTTACTGAAATTTACACCCTATTTGGATGCATCTTACCGGCCTCATTTCTGAGGGAATGTTTGAGGAAAATGTTAAAAAACAAAACAAAAAAACAAACAGACTTTAGGCATGGCAGGTTCAATTGCCAAAAACAACCTTATAAATGGAATAATCAAAGCTTAAGTTTGTAGGGTAAATTTAAGATTCAAACACAAATTTCCAACATGAGAACGCATCAGTGGCGAGATTGGGACAAATGCCCAAAATACACTTCAGTCCTGCTTCAGTTTTGGCACATTCCTCAAACACCTGGAGTAAATGGTGTAGTTTTCTCAGCAGGACATAATGACAAAAAAAAAAAACACTGAAGAATGAAAGCTTACAGGACTTGAGCATCATTACAATGCAGATATGACCCAAGCCGGTTTGCCTTCGTCTTGTTTTACGGCTACAGGCAATTCAACTTGATACAGTTTCACCTGAAATCATCTTAATTTCCTACTTTATCCTCAACCGTTAAATTTTCAAAACGAGTGCAAGTGTTTCCATACGGGTCAACAGGCATCCTGTCACAGATCTGCCCAATCAAATTACACCAAGTGGCTCTTGTTTGTTCTGAGAAGAGGGCGGCTATGTGAAAAGTTCCCTTCTTTACAGCTAGATGTCACTAGATTCTACATGTCTACCTACAAAGCAAGACAGAAGCACTACAGTTTAAAAATTTACTTTTATTAACACCACAGTAAAAAAAGTTTATAGAGTCCAATACTTCATGCAGCAGCTCTTGCACGAGTCGTCTTTTTTAAGAGTGCGATAGCAGCATCAACCTCCTGCAGAGTGATGAGTCTCAGTCTGTTGTGCTTTGACAGCCGAGATGCTTCAGAGCTCACCAGTCTGAGTAGGAGAGGTCTGGGGAAACAGAGATGCCGACTGGACAGGAAATCTGGAATTTCCATCTTTGCACAGTGAACCTGTTAAGGTGGGTACATTTAAAAAAAAAAAGTTTAGCCCAGGGATATCCATAAAATCCAACACTTCGGATTTTATGGATCCAAAATGTTGGATCCATAGATCCATTTATATCATAGATCTTTATGATAAAGATCATAAAGATGATCTTTATGTGCAGGATAAAAATGTCTCATCCAAAACAATATCTTACATGTACAGTTCTTGGGCACAACACAGAACTAGCAGCTCTGACCTCTTTATGAGTTTTGTAGATGAATTTGGAATGATCCCGAACTCTCCTCGTTTTTTTTGCAGGAATCCAGTGAGCTGCTTGAACAGGTGCCCTCATTTTGGCGTGTTCAGTTGAAAACAGGCATCCGATATGAAAATAAATGAATAAATAAATAAATAAATAAAGCTACTAGCACAGCCTTTTACACTGCTTCCAAGAAAATCAGAGGCTCTGTGTTAGTACTGAAAAGGAGGTTTTAATGAACGCAAATTGAAAACAGCTTTGCTTAATCAGGCTCAATTACTTTCACCCACCTGGCTGTAAAGTCCTCAGTGGGGGATCAGCAGCTTTCTGCAGGAGAGAAAAATCTGGCTCAAATAGAAATAACATGTGGTCACATAATTTAGAGTTGTGCTTTGCTTAATGACTGTTTATCTCTTAAAAATTGATGCAGAGTGGGATGCAATTTTCCATGTTCTTGACTTATTAATAGCTTAACGAAAGAGTAACAAAAAGAGAAAATCATCTTTTCCTTTATCCCTCCTATTAGGATATATATATATATATATATATATATATATATATATATATATATATATATATTCACTCACTCACTTGCCACTTTTTTGGTGTCTAGATGTGGGGAAGACAACTTGCTGAAGGTCATCATAAGCCTTTCTGACATACACACAAGCCTCCACTTACATCCACGTGTGTGTGTAGGTGTGTGTGTGTGTGTGTGTGTGTAGAGGATTTCTGAGCTGACCCTTATGTCATCCCAATGACTTCCAGCGATTTTGAACCCGCTGATGGCTGTCATGATGGCGCGTTACCGGCTGTAGGAGGGGCTTTGTCAGATAAGGACGGCATTAGGTAGGGCCATTAACGTCCTGTGGATTACTGTAATCCAGTCTCTCTTGTCCCTGCTGCTCACTCATTTGTGAGTCCAGTCTGGTGTGGAAGTGGGTTTTGAAGATGGCGCTCATCGTACAGCATTTCCTGCTCGCTCTGCTTCTTCTAGGAACTGACGGTACGATTTCAACTCAATCTGTCCTCACCTGCTCAGAAACCTAACCTGAAGTTTTAGAAAGCTGGTATCAGAATGACTCTAAGGTATTTCTGTTGACAGAATACAGCAGGACGTATGTCTGAGTTTGAAAGTTTCATTCTTGTATTGGTTCAAGTGCTTTGTTTACATTTATCTAATGTAGTTAAATGAACAGATTTTATCAACAGAGTGGATGTTTGTCGTGTCCTTAGCATCTTCTTGTTCTTCTTATCTTCTCTCTCCTGTGTTGGCTGTTTTTTTCCCTCCTTTCTTCTGACCATCTGGTTGGACAGCGCTCATCAGGATTCATGCTCAAGAGGTATGAAACCCCCTAAGATAATACAAATATTGCAACCATTTTAAACCATGCAAGCAAAAACATGTTGAGTTTTTCAAATGCCACTTCATTTATTAAATTTTTTAATTTATTTTATTTTGGAACCAGACCGCCGCTTCTGAGGCGTGGACCACCAAGTCCTGCAAATGTGACTGCGATGGAGCCGAATCTCCAACAGAGTTTTCCATCATGGGGTCTGGCTCTATGGTGAAAGGAGTGGATTGCATGCCAGGTAAATGCCTCAGCACACATGCCTACACCTCTCTCTATCTCTTTTAGCAAACATGTTCTGTTTAAAGTGAATCTGCAAATGTTTTTGTGAAATCTCATATTGGGCTTTTTTTTTTTTTGGAACCTAAAGAAGTACAAATATTAATTTCATACCAAGTTGGTGCTCACTGTATCCACGCAGTAACTCCCAGCTCCTCCAAACTAAGAAAGATGGAAAATTATTCTCTCCCTGCCTGGATTGTTATAAACTATTTAACATCAGGAAATCTGTTATTTGACGAAATCATTATGTAAAGTCATTAAAACTAAATCCTCAGATTTCCAAAGACGAACCACTACATTTGTTTTACACGCAGAGAGACATTGTGTTGGACATGAAAGCGTCAGAGTCCAGATTTAACTCCACAGGGTGGACATGCTCCACTGGGTATCCTCTGAGAAGGTGACGTTAGACGTTGTGTGACGACAGAGCCATGAAAAGAACAGAAGGGTAAAAACCAGAAACTTAAGGCATGAAAACGTCCAGTGAAATCTTTGGCCTAAGGTTTTACCCAGCATTAAATCCATGAGAAATAGTTTGTTTCAGCTCTTCTGTAAATAACCAGAGGCAGACGCTCCAACTTGGTCAGATTTAAATCACGGGCAAACTTGCAGAAGAGATCAACGCCGATTACAAGTGATACGAGTGAATGGGCGAGTGTCATCTGAGCCACAAATTGCATGGCAACCGATGACAGCGAAGACACATAAGTTCAGCTGATAATCATCATGCCAGAACATGATGCAGCTCTTGTTAGACTGCGCCAGTCACAGAATAACAGAAACTGGCTATTAGTACAACACAGACCCTGCGATGATGAATGACGGGCCTGAATGAGCACTTTGTGCTGCAGCCGACGTTTTGCCTCCCCCCTCTGTGTCTCACCTCTAGGAATTTCTATTATTTCAACCATACGAACATTCATAATTTACAAAGGGAGGAGTGCAGAGGCATTTGAGTCATTGTTATGCAAACACTTATCTCCTGACTCAAACAGAAGCTTTGCTGTGAACGTTGTAATGCTGGGATTACAGCGAATGCATCCCTTCCCCTGGTAGTCTTGAAGCAGCAGTAAACAGAGGAGCCAGGTCTTATTGCGTGCATCAACAAATCCACTCTCGCTCACCTCCATCTTCTCCCTCGTTCACATGTTTGTAGTGAAATTTCAGCTTAGAGAAAGGGAGAGCTCGCAGCAACATGGAGCTGCAGTCCAGAAGAGTGGATGGCCATCTGCTGTCCTGCCGTCCTAATGGACATCACTGATCTCTCACTGTGAAGAATTAAGCTGTTGGCTTTTAGGAAGAAATGTGGGTCACGTTGCGGCTGCACGCAGCGGGGGGTCTTCGGTGTTGGAGGGTGTGTGTGAGGATGTCAGCAGGGCTGGAGGGCAAAGCGGAAAGGATGAAGACTGAAAATCCAAAGAGGCTTTGGTGGTGACCATTTGGTGGTCAAATCGTCAGTGGCTTGCTGCTTCTGTTCACGTCCTCCTCTCAGTGGGCTCCATCCGTTCGATCCAAGGAGGTTCTTTCAAAACAAATGGTGACAATGAAAAAGAAATAATAATAAAAAAAAAAAAAATTAATTGGTCAACTTTGCTTTTACTTGCAGAGTGTCCGTATCACAGGCCTCTTGGATTCGAGGCAGGATCTGTGAGTCCAGACCAAGTCACCTGCTCTAACCAGGAGCAGTACACCGGGTGGTTCTCCTCATGGGTCCCGAGCAAAGCCAGGCTCAACAGCCAAGGCTTCGGGTAAGTCAAAGTAAAACAATTTGAACTTATTTAAAACAACAGAAACAATATATTTGCATTACTACAACCATGAGGTGACGTAAAGAAGCATCTGATAGGTTCTGATTGAGTGGTCTCTTAAGTCCACAGTTTTAGCAGTAATCAGGCTTGAACAAGGAAATGTGGTTTGTTAGTTCATAATTTAATACATTTCTCAAATTACATTTTCTCAAAGAGCCAGATGCGTTATTTTTTCAATTATTGATGAAATAACATATTGAAAACTGTTTTTTGTATTTACCTGGGTCATCTTTTGTCATGTATTAAAATTTGATAGCCTGAAGGATGTGTTGCAAAAACATATAAAATGACCTGCAATGAAACGAAAACCTTTTCACAGCACAGTGCGATCATAACATTTAAATATCTGCACATGTTTCTATAGTCTGTTTCCATTTTACCACATGTTGCTGAGTTTTGTGCCAATATAATGAAAAAAACAAAAAAACAAACTGTTCTTACAATCTGTGTGGAACAGTAAGGATAAACACAATATGGCTCACACAACTGGCCAAGGTTGTGCAACAATATGTCCTTTTGTTCACAACATGGAAATATGAACACCACAATGCCAAAATACACACACTGAGAGCCTCATTTTTTATTTTATCAATTTGATTTCTGCTACATTAAGTCCTCATTCTTTAATATAACATTCTATTGATATTGATGAAGACATTCGAACAGCTTCTCATTTTCCTCCTTAGTTAAAAAGCCGAATATGATTCGACAAAGTTTAGTTCTCTTATAATACAGCAGCAGAGTACTGGTAATCATGTGTGAGTTTTATTTTCCGTTTCTTCTCCAAGGTGTGCTTGGCTGTCCAAATTCCAGGACAACAGTCAGTGGCTGCAGGTCGACCTGAAGGAGGTGATGGTGGTTTCGGGGATCCTCTCTCAGGGCCGCTGTGACGCCGACGAGTGGGTCACCAAGTACAGCGTCCAGTACCGCACCGACGAGAAGCTCAACTGGATTTATTACAAAGACCAAACTGGAAACAACAGGGTCAGTAAAGCAGCGACACCCTGGACGAAAATAATCTAGAATGTTTTGGGTCATCGATGCTGTAAATATGCTTTTGAAGCATAATTTTATTTAGCAGTTTTAAATGTTTCTAAAAATAATGTAACAAAATAGCAGTTGACAAACATACAAAATGTTTTTTTTTTTTTAAATAAGAATCGAAAGTACATCAATCAACTGCTTTCTGACACTTTTACAAAACTGCATACTCAATACTTTCAGTAAATGTCTTGCTACATTCAAGCCCAAAATTATTCATACACCTGCTAGGTTTAGTTTTATAGCAACATTCAAGGCTTACAAACATATTTGTTGTAAATATAAGTAACATTAATGTCAGGGTGAGGGTTAGGGTTAGCCAGGATGCTGTGTCTTCAAAATACCAGTGGAAATATGCAAAAACCAGCTTAGCAATTATGAACACGATTCAAAGATTTTTTTTTCTACTGATTATTAAATATGATATAAATGAATTGAAAACATTTAAATACAAGCATATTTTATTGTTATTTTTCCCAGCCACACTTCTTGGTTTAATTCAATTTGTTTTAAATTCAAATCTACCAGTTGTATGAATATTTTATATGCGCAAGTGTAACAGATTTGTAAAATGTAGAAAATGATATCTTCAGAGAATTAAATGACCAATCAGCGCTTACTTACAATTCTGAAACAACTTTTGGATTTAAACGCTGAATAGAGTAGGAACAATATTTGGCTTAAAAGGATAGTTGAGATATTTGGAAGTGATGTTCTGTAAAGCTATAATCAGACATAGTTCATATAGCTGAAAAACAAGATATCTTAGTGGAATAACTTTGAATTATGTTCTTATGGCAATAGTAATAATTGCACAGCCTTGTCTTCCAGCTGATTTTTTTTAGCAACTTAGAACAACTCAAATGGAAAATATTAATGACATATTATTATATATTAACCATCTACACTTTTTTAAGTTGGTGTCCAGTTTGTCACAGTTTTCTCAGCTGAACAGTGGTTGTGACGGTTGACGTGTCGGCTTGACAGAACCTCACTTAAAAATGTCTGAGCTGTCGGTTGATTCAGTCAGTCCTTCACGGCCCTTCCTTTCTTCTCTAATCGCACCTTAACATCACCTGCCTAATTCTTTTTCCCTCAGGTGTTTTATGGAAACTCTGACCGCTCTTCATCCGTCCAGAACCTCCTCCGGCCGCCCATTGTGGCTCGCTACGTCCGCATTCTCCCCCTCGGATGGCACACTCGCATTGCTCTGCGCCTGGAGTTGCTGCTCTGCATGAAGAAGTGCATGTGAATCCCTCCTCCTTGCCTCCCTCGGAGCGCTGTCCCAGACCCTGCGTGCTGTTTGATTATGTATTCACAGATCTCCTGAAAAACAAATTGACCCTGAAATATTCACGACCTCAAACCGTTTCTACATCCGACGTGCTTCCATTAAAGTAGGTTTGTTTGATATGTACAACATGCTTTCATTCAGTCCGCCCTGCTTTGTCTCTGTGCCACACCAGTCTCTCTCACCGGGGCTCCGGTTTTTGAAGAGTTCTCAATGGGTGGCTCAGTTTGCAATGAAATGGCATAAATTCAAAGCAATAATTAGTGGCTGAGGAGAAGAGGCAGTGTTGCTATGAGGGGCTCGTTGCCACAGGTTTGTGGTGTTGTGTGAAGGAACCAGACAGTCCCTGAAATACACACTGAGTCTATTCATAAGTTAAATATGTGGCATTTTGAAAAATATCCCACAAAAAAACCCAGAACTGTTTCTGTTCTTGAACCCAGAATAGCGAGATAGTTTGATTTTATTCTCTTTCCATAAAAAAGTTAAATGAATTAAAATCTTTAGCAGAAGGTGAAAGCTTTCCTTGTGCACTTTGTCTTAAATTAAAGATAGCAGATGTGTTCTGAAAATAAATGTGAGCTACTTTAAGTATTTATTTTCTGATAGAGTGATGTCACACGCGCTTACTGTACAGTTTGTTTCTCTCTGGTTGGCAGAGGGGACTCATCGCTGCATGGAACAATGAGGTGCAACCCATAAATAACGATATGTGAATGTAAACAGCCAATATGCAAACAATAAGAATGATCTAGAGGCCACGTTTTCATTTTTCTATTGTTCCAAAGAACACATGCAAAAGCTGCTGCGGTAGAGAGCCGTTCAGTGTGAAGTCATTGTTGGTTAACAAATCAAATCTACATTTTACTACAAACACATTTTCATTTGGTTTGTCTCAAACTTTTTGGAACCTGTGATTTAAACCATAATTTCAGTGATTGCCGAAAGTGATCAATATTAAACTTCTTATCCTCAGTGACTTTATGCTTCATGGAATGCAAACAGAAACATTCAGTAGGTTTACATTTCCCGATGCCAAAACAGGGCTGCTTCCCATTTAAATACTTTCTCCTTTTCTCCTTACTTTATTTTTTTTGTTAGTTCTTTTTCCAGGTAGCTTCACTGTTGCCGTATTGTGTTTGTGATGAAATGTCTCGTTTTTTTTTGTTTTTTTTCCCACGATACTATGGGATTCACTCCTGAGTCAAAGACGTGTCCTTTATTGTACCTTTAAATCGTTTTCCTAGATTAAACCCACACACCTGTCATGTCTGTTTTTTTATGTTGTGTCTGTGGAACAAAAGATATGACTCGTGCAAAAAAATGTACAGTCGGTATTTATTATGAGACCCTATCATATTTTAATTAGAATGGTCAGCATAGATACACTCTGCTATTTGTATTTACACCCTGTCAGAGGTGGAAAATAGCTAATGGAGAAACAGAAAATAAAAAAAGAAGATGTTTTAGGAAACACATTCATATTTGGGAACAGAACGTCATCTCACCGCGTTCGAGTGACTGGAGCCTTTTGTACCAAGAACTGCTGAGTCAGCGAGCTAACTGTAAGGCTTCGGGTCACTGGCAAGGCAAGCGTTGTCACCCCTCTGTCCACAAAGGACACATCAGCAGTCATTTACAATCATTAGCACTAAGTGTTTGCACAAATGCACAGCTTCATGGGGCAGTGTGTTTGATTTGAGCCACGCTCAGGGTGAGATACAGGAGCACTGGGAAAATACTGCAGGAGGATGGAACTATCTTCACTTCCCTGCTTCACAATATACTGCAGGAAGTCGTCTATGCTTCAGTTTAATTTTTAGATGTGACCAACCCACACTACTTTGAGATTATTTCTTGATGTTATTGCTTTCAATCAGCCATGTTGTCAATTGGGTCTCCGTTAATTTGAAGCTGCACTCTAGTAGACGTGACCTTTATGTTCATCTTTGAGTAAAATGTGTAATGATTCTAATACTTTGAAGGAGGAACAAGGAACACTGCTGGAGATTAGAGGAAACATTGCGTTATAACTTCACATAGGCCTCAAAGTGTTATCTTTTTTTTGTCCACACATCACAAGATAAGCTGATCTTTTTTTTTATTATTATTATTTTAAATAATCAAGTTTTGAGTATATTCATCCCTGATCATGACTGCTGATGTTAAAAGGAATGCAAACAGGGAAATACAATTTCAGATGTTTAAAATTGTTTACAAAAGAGGCATTTACAAAAACGGTGATGGCACGAGCTTTAAGATGCACACGGAGGATGTAAACATAGATTACAGAATAAGTCTGGGATAATTTTGTGTAACCAGTTTCGACAGTAAAATCCAGTCCTAAAGTTACAAAGATTGTATTGTTTGCTTCATTTGGCATTTAAAAAGTTAGAATAGATCAACATTTTTGGTTCGACTTTGTTATAGTAAACTATTTTAAACTTTCTATTTAAAGTTCTTCATCTGTGAAGATGCAACTACTTTCTGTCATGATTTAGACACCAAACCCATCACTACAATGACGAGTTTTGAAATTGACAATGTTTTTTTTAATTGTTTTTCGTGCTAACAAATTCATTTATACACTGAATAACGTGGAGTCAGTGTTTGGACAATGCCAGGTTCACAAAGTTTTGGCTTTCAAGAATTACAGTATAAAAGTATCCCCAGACTTATCCTGTAAGATCTTAATGGCTGTAAGTGAGGTATGCCTTTTTGAAACAATCTTCAGAGTTGTATGTCATATGTCTCAGTTCCAGAGGTTAACATGAGCAAAGACGCCTGTTGCCTCATGGGAAGGTTGTAGACAAACCCAAAATGGCAGCATGAAGCTGGAGAGCTGTTTGTTGTTACTGATAAAAGACAGAAAATTGGGGTAAATTTAAAAAACTGTGTCACCAGAAGTAGGACATGAGTTGGTGATGTAAAAAAAATTTGGACCACAAATAATCGTAAAAAATAGTATTCCACCTTCAATGTGATATATACAATTCAATAAGTTAAAGAGAGAAAAATAAAAAAAAATGAAAAAGCTGTCATAACCGGCAAACTCAACTGTTTTAGAGCCACTTTCTTATTCAGTTTCAGGATTCTGAGCTTTACTCTCTTTAGTCTATTTCTCAGCAAACACTTTGGATATATATGCATTTTCATATGTCGTGTTCAACACAAGAACAATGCAGCTGCATATCATTAAAATGACACCACACTCACAGTGAAGCATAGTGTTGGCAGCATCATGCTCTGGGCTTACTTTTTTCCATCTGGAACTCAGGATTTCATTTCCAGCTTTGCTTCCAGATCTAAATACCAGCTAGTTTAGACCTAAAATGTTCAAGTGTTTGCTAAAAACTAAAAAACAACAAAAATAAAACAGGAATTTTGAATTCAGGGTTTCCCACAGTGTATTATAAGCCTGGCGGGCCACCAGGCTTTACTTGTGCCCCCACCAGGCTTAGCATTGTTTATTTATTTTAGTTTTTCTTTTCATCATTGCCTTTTTTTAAGACTTTATTGTTGATGTTTAGGTATTGATCCTCCAGTCTTCCAATAACAAGTGAAATTTTTAAATTTCATGTCAACTTTAAATATTTTTTAACTCAAAAACATGGCAGCTGGCTGGATGGCGGCCGGCCCCAGCATCCCGAGCTCTGGGCTTAGCACGTTTTCTGGGGTAAATCTATAACCCTTGCCATTTCGATTTAGCAAATATGACCTTGGTAAGACCCGCTGTAGTTATATACTCACACCAGACGAAATGCTGAAACTCAATAAAAAAGGTGCCTTAGCTACGTATGACTCCAACTCAACACACACTTCCATGAGCAGGTTCTTATTGTTTGCTTTGTAGTTGAATTGTATTAGGATATATGTCAAATTGAAGGTGGAAACAGCTTGAAACGACTTATGGTCAATTTTTATGCCACAAAAACGCGACGTTTTCTTCCTACCAAGGGTGCGTACACTTTTGATCTTTTTATTTCCAGTGTACTTAAAGCACGACGTTGATCTGTCACCCTCTGGTTGATCTGCCAACGAACAATGTCTACAAATGTCCCGAATTATCACACAACTTCACAACCAATGTCATGAAGGTGATGGTTGTATCTGTACTACATCTAATGTCAGCGATTTTTCACTTTTCAGTAGTTTTTCTTTTTCTCGTAGTTTACAATTTGGTGAAATAAAAACGGGTAAAAATAGGATAACATAAGATATGTTAACATCATCATATTCAACATAAAAAGACATTCACCATTATTAAATACTCCTTTTGACATTATTATCAACACATAAATATCTATTCATTTCTCTGTGTCGAAACTAAAGCTCTTGCAATTACACATTTAATTCTACATTTTTTTTTATAATATTCCCATATAACCTACATACTGTGTCATTTATAGCTTATATCCTTGAATTTAAAACAAATAAATATTTAATAAATAATATCGATATAAATCTTTCTCTCTTTTTTGTTATCAAATATCAGTGCTTGAAAAACCTTTAAGTTTATTGGCGGCTTCTCAACCGTTGCAGTAGCGCTCAGTAAGCAGAAGATGGCGGCAGAGAGGCCACACAGGCAGATCTGCTTGTTCTGATGTGAGCAGAATCAGCTGACGTGGTTCCAACATCCAGAGAAGATACCGGGACCTCCTTGCTTTAAGCCAAGTCCCACCTTACTGATGTCTGGCCTGTTTGCGTCGGGTCTTTGTAGATTTCAGAGACACGAGAATCAACAGATGACTATATTTCTGTGAACTTTTTCCAGGTTACCACGATGTCTGTGGCCGGGCTCCAAGGACAGAGACACGTCAGAGAGGTTGGAGGGATGTTACAGGGCTGTCTCCTTCAGGTCGTTGAGATTCGGCATCCTGGTGCGGGACGCTCGGGTAAAAGTAGGTCCGTTCTGACCCGGTTTGATGCCCAGCTGCTCTGGAGTGAACTGAGCGCCTTCCACCCGCTGTAAAGCCGACACGTGCCAGCTGGATTCGATCTGTCCCGGTAAGGTGTAGCTGGCCTTGCGGTTCTTCGCCTGGCTTGAGCTGCTCATCCCCGAGTGGGCCCTGCTCTCCGTGTGCCCTCGGCCCTCTGGGTAGCCGGCTTTGGAGGAGGACTGAGGCGGGTTGGGGAGCGGGGCTTGGAAGCGCAGGTCCGGAGGAGGTGGAGGAGGAGGCTGCCCCTGGTTTGAGGGGGAAGGCGAGAGGTGAAGGAGTCGGCGTAGAGACTTGAGTGGTTGGCTCTGGAATAAGAGAAAAGCTTACAGTTGTTAGACAATCTAACAAACGGCCTGATCGACTATAAGTGCAATATTAACGACAAACAAATTGAGAGATGTTGTGGTTTTTGACATCGCAACAATCTGATTGAGACAGTGTTCAGTGTTCTGCAAATTATTATCACCTTACAGGCTTCTTCTGCTTTTGCTAGGTCATCACACAAATGCTAATACATTTGTTGCTAAGACATCTTTGACAAAAAAAAGAAAGAGGAAAAAATCTTAAAACAAGAATTTCAGAATTGTTTGTCACACATGTCATGAAAACTTTTTACACCCACTCAAGGGTTGGTGGTTTTCTTATGTTTTTCTCTAAAATCTGCGCTTACTAACCAGAAGTAATGACATCCTTACAATATGCAAGAAGACACTGGCTTCAAACTTCTGCACATGTAAAACATAGGTGAACTTGCTTCTCTTTAGCCATGACAGTGCAGCATTTATTAAGTAAGGATTTCAAATTTAATTTTATTTTGATAATTTTCCACATATTCTAGGTGGAATATCAAAATTACTTATCACTGGCCTTCTCCGCTCAGGCAGAGACAGCCGTAGTATATTAGTTGTTTTCGAAGCAGACTGACAGGCTGAATAGAGCTGCCATTCAGTACGTCTCCAAATCCTTTCAAACCTTTTGGAACAAAGAACAGTTTCAAATCATGCAGTTTCCAGGCAGTCGTTTCACTCCTCACAAAAAACATAAGAGTTTATTTTTCTTTCATTTTATTCAGTCGCTCTGTTGCGTCTTTGAACGGTTTGTTATAAAATGTACCATTTTCCAATTAGCGTTCTCTGCTGTGATTCAGCATTAGCACGAAACAACATCTCTGGTTTTTGGTATCTTTGAGTTTTAAGGACACAAGTGGAAGAAAAAAATTCAAAATAAGTGCACAACAAAAAGAATTCAACAATTTCCTAATTTCAACTCAACGCATTAAATGCTTCCATTTCCGTGTAAATTTCAATTAAATGTTTATTGCAAACGGAGTTACGGACTGTTTTTTTGATAAAGTCACATACCTGAGAGTGGGAGTCCACTGGCTTGTCTGGTGGCCAATCGGTGACTCTCTCTCTTTCCCTCCCCCTCTCCCTCTCTCTCTCCCTCTTGTTCTCTCTCTCCCTGTCCCTGTCCCGGTCTCTGTCCCTGCTCTGTTCCCGGTCGCGGTCTCTGTCCCGGGATCGCTCGCGGTTTTTCCGTCGGCTGCTGTGGTGGGAGGATGACTTGGAGCTCCTCTGAAGGGAAAGGTGTTCCTGTCCGTTCCCAGTAACCTGGAAATCAAAGAAGGAAGATTAGTTGCTGAAAATCAATTTTTTTTTTACTCTGTTGCTGGAATATTATTGAACTTAATGAGATGCCATCCACAATCCGGTGATGTTCAACATGCACCCTTCAAGCTGACACGAAAAAACAAAAAACAAACGGGTGACGATGATGATGATCAGTGATAACTTCCTACTCGTTGCCAGGGTTTAAGAAAGCTGACAAGCCTCATCTTCCTGGTGTTTGAAACCACTTATTGTCTTGTGAGCTAATAAAAGGACAGTTTCAGAGGGTTGGTAACCCTGGAAACACACGTACAGCCCTTTCTGGATGATAGTTTGTATGGGATGTGGGAGATTATCTGAGAAAACAGACAAGTCACAGAGCTGCCAAACAAGCACTTCCTCTCCTAATTCCAAATGAAAACTTGTCAAAACTTTTTGACCCACTTATTACATAAACAGACCTTCTGTGCAATGTTCGAGCTTGAAAGCAAAATGATAATTATTCCAACCTAAGGCCTCGTTGATGCGTCTGAAGACGTCATTGCAGTTCAAAAACCACTTCATCATCGTTTAGGTAACATTATGTTTCCATTTTAAGGTTATTGTGCTTCAACTGGAACAGGTAGTTTACAGGATGTCATGTCCCTAAAATGACACTGTCAAGAAATACACTCATGCTGACTGTGATAAATGTATCAAGTCTTTCTTAAATTTCAACTTTAATCACTATGAAAATATGCAAATTATTTTTAAAAACGTGGATCTTCTTCAGGACAACAACACCTTTCTGTCAGTGTCACTGCCAACATCAATATTTACTCTGACACCCCTAAAAGAAATTCAATCGTCTTCAGAAGTCAGACTCCACCTTTGTGCAATTAAAGCAAAAAATAAAAAATAAATAAATTGGGAAGAAGGTGTAGAGAAGCTAAACTTGATTGTACAACTAAGCTGACATGTTGGTTGAGAGGACAACAGCTTTAAAAATCAGGTCTTTATGGCAAGTGGCAAGAAAAAAGAACCTTAAAAGTCCCGACACAAACCGCGTCGCTGACTCAGCGACATGTTTAGGAAGATGCTCTGGTCACAAGAGACAAAAAATAAACTTTCGGAGGAAAACTAGTACACCACCCACACTGCGAAACATGTGAATCTAAATCTAGTTGCACTTCAGATGTTTGTTTAAAAAAGAGAATCAAAAATTAAAAACAATTAATTTCCCTCACATCTTAAATGTGCTCTACAAATTTAAGTTTCTGGCTCTCATATAACAGGATGCAAAGTACATTTTTGCAATATATTGATTGAAATGTGTGTTTTTCAAATCCACATTGCATTATATCATAACATACTGTGTTGTATGTTGTCTGACAAAAAGATAAAAGAGTACATCAAAACTACCCAGATGTAACAAATTTACAAAGAACGACCATAGATGTATCTTGCTGAAAATGTCAAAGACCATCATGATACGATGATTTCTTTAAAGGGCCAGCCTCACAAGCAAAATGCACTGCAGCATGAATTAGTGTGACGGCATTTTAACATTCATATTAGCAGGACGAATGGATGCACACACACACAAATAAAAACGCTTACGCGTTTAAGCTTGCAAAGAAATCATTTGAAATCCCCTCAAACTAGAGCACAATGTGGAATTTGAAACTTTTGAGGAAGATTTCAAAGCTTGTCATTGTGGCGTGAGAGCCGTGCCGGTTAACATGCAGCTGTAGAGTTGAAGTTAGATTACTGGTGAGGCAGGGTAGGGTGCCGCAGGCTGATGCTGTACCATAGGCGAGGCAACTACAGGTAGGATTTTTCCAGCTGAGTTGTGCTTTAAGCTATTCTTAGAGCTAAAAAGGGGGAAAAGGCTTTTCTTGATGCTCGGATTCCTTCCGTCCTCCACGTCCGTCTGTGGAGGAAAAGACGCACAGCCACAAACTTTCAACTCAATTTTCTGGCAGCAGATAGAGAAGAAGTGGTAAGAGAAACAGCAGCTGAGCCACAATCATCCTTGCAAACGCAGCATAAGATTAGACACTAAAAGACACAAGTAATATTGACACAAAAGTTTCATTAGAGAGACAAAAGCAATAGAAAAAAAAAACATTTTATTGTTTGGAAGTTTGTTTTAACCCCTACTTTTTGCTGGCAAAGAACATTTTGATTTTCCATCCATCAATAAGAAATTGTTGAAAAATCTAAAAAAAACAAACGTATGGACATGACAGAAATATTGTACAAGGCATGAAAATAGATGGCAATATAAAATAGAACAAGCTAATTCTGTCCCATGGCTGAACGCCACAATGTGTTTTACTGAGCTGGAGCTTTACTAGGTCTGTCTGATTATCTGAGTGCTTGTGGTGATTGCTTTTCATTAAGTTCCCTGGTTTTCAACCTATGCAGTCTATTGTTAGTATTATTATGATTAAGAATGATTGCAGACAATATACCATTTCATAGTAAATCAGAATTACTCTTTGGGACTCTCAGTGATTAACTCACTCATCATTTTTACAGGAACTGCACACATTGATGATGGCTGAGATCAGTTTTTGAAAGCTTAAATATACTAAACAACAACAACAAAAAAAAACTTAATCCACAAAAACATACGTATTGGGTATTTTTTGGATGATGTGATGGTTGACAGAATTGCAAATCTTACTATTTGTGTCTTCTTCTTTTTCTTTTTAATGGCTTTGAAGAAGCCTTGTTTTTGCTTCTCTTTGGTGGGCTCAGGAGGATTCATGACCATTGCTTCTGCAGCAGTCCTGCAGAGCACATGTGGAAAGGGTTTCTGTAATTACACTCTTAGGAATAAATTACAACAAAGATTTATCTGCTCTGGTCTTGCACAAATATAAAAAACAACAAAAAAAAAAGAAAAAAAGAAGAAAGAACTGGAAAAAGGATGCCTCTATAATTTACAAAATTTAAATACCGTATTTTCCACACTATAAGGCGCACCTTAAATGAATGGCCTATTTTAAAACTTTTTTCATATATAAGGCGCATAGGGTTGCCACCCGTTCCTTAAAATACGGAACTGTCCTGTATTCTGTATTGAACCTACGTGATTTGTTCCGTACTCTACAAATGTGGATGTATAGTAATAATAAAGTGGTCCCCGAGTACTTTATACAGTATTCTGCTCCAGTCATTGTTTTACTCACGATGTTGATGTTGCGATATTGTGCCCAACTGCTTTCTGGGTAACACAGACCAATCGACACGCTGCCGCCGCAGTCTCTGTCTCTCTTTCCCCGGCTTTAAATGTATAGGGGCTGGTCCCTTGGTAACCCTAGTCGAAGCACCCTGGATGAATGTCTAAAGCCACTTTGTTGACATAAAGAATGTCAACAAAACAGTCTGACTCCGGTCAGGGAGGAGAGCTGGGCCGGGGCGTGGCCGGACGATGGTCACCCTTCTCCGTTCGTGCACAGCATGTTGGCGGAGAACGTGGCGCTAAATGACCTGCAGACGACCTGATTCTAGACGGTCAGTAGGTAGATAGGTCAGTCAAACTTTATTAACAAACCAGCGTTCTGACAACTATCCCAGCATGCACCGCGCGCTTCTTCTTCTACGGGCGAAAATGAAGTCGGCGGCTGCTTACCGTAGATACTAGACCTGTTGTGGCTCAATATGGGTCCATAAATAAGGCACACCGGATTATAAGGCACACTGTCGGCTTTTGAGGAAATTGAAGGTTTTAGGTGCGCCTTATAGTGCGGAAAATACGGTAGTTACTTT